CAGCTTTCAAATTCTTCCACTGCCTTTTGAGAACCACAAAACCAGAAATCCTCATGAATTCAGGAACACTTTAAATGAGGCTGGTTGATACTCACCTGCTCACAGGACACTGCACAAAGAAAATGCTTCATAGCTCTAAATTGCTTTGAACAAAGGAGTCTTAGCTGAACACGAAGCACTATTTTCAGATTTAACATGAGGAATCATTACTTAAGGTACGCACATTTTCTCACATTGCATTTAACAGCGATTAAGAAATACAATTAGGATAGCTCTCACAGCAGGGAAGTATTTGTAACACCTCCCTCTGGGTCACAAGTCAGCTTTGCATACTTGCATGGTGTTGGATTAGCCATTACTTTATACACAGGTTCTCCTGATGTAGCCAGAAAACTGAATGAGGTTTTTCAAGGAGGAATCCCAGAGCTGTGGGCTTTGAGCAACTCAGGAGTCTGCAGGGGGTAACCACAAGCTCTAGAACACTTGTGCCGCTCACAGAAAAATGCTCTTGCTATGCAGAGATGTGTATGAAGGGCCACAGACAAGACTGAATACTTTCATTACTTACAGAACTCAGGCAGACTTCATCCCAGAGCTGTATGCCATGGCCCTCTTTGCATGACAAAGAACAATTTGTTTGCAAAACGTGACTGTCCCCTTTCTGACACTTTACCAAAGCCTTGCCTTTCCAGGGACAGACAATGGCTGCTGTCAGGCAATTCAGAGGACTCCGGGCGCTCTGTGTTCTCTTACTCCTTCCCTACATTATTCTGTACAAAACACACGTGGAGCCCACCCAAGCTAACTAAGCGACCATTAACATCAGGTTCACAGAGCATACAGCCAAGAAAGGGCATAGTCACTCTTTCCTGAGGTTCCTTTTTCACCCCTTGAAGCCAACCTTATGTAGCATAAAAGACCTTGTATGACCCTCTACCTTGGCATGGGTTTTAGCCCAGTTCTTTCTAATGACACTGAATTCACTATCCAGTTGGTACATCACACGCAAATGCCCAGTGAGGAAGAGTGCACCGGTGCAGCAAGTGCCAAGTGACCAAATAGCCCTTTTAAGGCTGGTCTGGCTAAGGTGAAAGCAGAGACTGATCCGGTCTTGTAGACCAGAAGACTGTTCCTCCAGAGAGGTACACAGATAATTAATTAATTGCAATGCTTTAACTGCACAGTAGCGTAAGACAGGAAACAGGTACCTGGCTGAAGGCAGAACCTCAGCATTTCCCAATCCCATTACAAAAATCCTAAACCCTGACTCCTGAGAACCATAACATCAACAGAGAGGGCAGAAAACTACAAGCAAGTGCACACAGAGAAACTCAGAACTAACTCCATGTGCTCTAACAGAGCTCTACTTCCGAGGCCCTCAAGGCCTTAGCTTATTTGCAGTTAAATCCACCAAGGGCGTGTTAAGTCCATTTCTCCTTTCTTATATTCCCATGAAAGCAAACCCAAACCAAACTCAAACCACAACTAAGAGTTGGCACTGGATAAACCAGGAACCACTGTGAATAAAGCCTATCCGGATTTCAGAAAACACAAAATGAAGAGGCCTCCCAACTCTCACATCCTGCTCTGCTTTCCTTTGTAAGCAGAGCTGAAAAGAAGAGCCTTGGACCACACCACATCACAATGTCTGGTCGTGGAATTCCCCTTTTCCCTCTGCAGACTTATGCATTTCCAGAAAAAAAGGTCTTTCCTAAATTAAAAGCCCCAGCCAAAACAACACCACTGCTCTACCACTAGTATATGTCTCTCTGGAGACAATCCAATGACAGAGCAAAGCTGGCAGCTGTAGCTCTTAGGCTCCCATTAACAGTGCCCCACACTTGGCACACACCTCCTTGCACCCAGGATACATGGGGCCGCTAACAGCGTCTGTACTCTTAAGGCAGGGAGCTGGGAGATAAGAAATGTCTTACTGCAAACGAGAAAGCTCTTATAAGCACAATGCAATGGCGATCAGGATCCGATTCCTTAGGAAGATCAGCATCAGTATGATTATGACAAACTTGCTAAGGTTAGAGAGCTGAGAGCACCATGTCCCGAAACATTTCCTCTCTTAGTTGTGAGCAGTGTTTGATTCATAACCCAGATCTTGTTTAAAGAGTTGGCTTCTCTCTGATTTCTATTTGTGTCACTTCAAATCCTACTGCTGCAATAGGAAGCAAAAGAATTCTCTGGACTCCACCTCGAGAAGGCAGAGTCTTAAATGCCTGAAGCACACCTCCTCTCACCCTGAGACACATCCCTTAATTCTGGGTGCCTCAGAGGGTTAGACAACAATTAAACCAGCCCAGCGGTGCTGGATGGTTACACACAGCAGGCCCTGTCTCCTCCAGCTGAAACCAAGAGTTCTGTGGAGGGAGAGGAAGACAAAGGGAAGGTATCCCTCAGCCGTGGCGTCTGGAGGTTTGCACAGGGACAGGGGAATTGGCTTCAGGTCCCACAGCTTTGACACAGCCTCAGAATCCAGACCCAGATAGTCAGAGATGATGTTCAGTTGCGATCCCCAGTACTGAGAGCAGTACCCCTAGCCATCAGAACTGCACGTGGCAAGTGACCCCTGGGGTGCTCAGAGCCACAGACTTTCTTCAGAACAAAGGTTTTGTTACACACATTTCAGCACCTATTTTTGATATGGTTCTCCATGAAGGAATACATAGGCAGGTTGCTTTGCAGTTGGTCTCAGCCCAGTTCAGATCTCTTAAGTTAACGTACCTTGTCCCCATTAGTAGTACCTCGATTCACTCATCTGAAAGTGACACTGACCTCTGGATAAACTGTACAGTGGCTGCTAAGAATCAGGCAGGGGAGTTACACGGAAAGATGGAATAAAATCCTAATATTCTCTAGGGCCAGCATGCTAAAAAGCTCTGCCTCAACAATATGCAAAGATGCTCCTGAGCTCAATGATCCAACACAGTTACTTGAAGACACAAAGCAGAGAAAGCAGACTAAAGGAGTAAACTACTGCTCTATTCATTTAGCTACCAATAGGGAGAAGCAGTGCTTTAGGCTATGTGCCATTCATCATCAGTTAGTGCCTTCGGGCCTGCTCATAGAGTAGTAACAGCAGCACAAATAGTATTTGACAGGTATTTGTTCTCTCTTGTGCCCCTCCTTGTCTTGTTCCAGTAGGATTGTTTTAAATACACTGCCCTTGTAAGAGAAAGCAGTGAAGCACTTCTGAAAACCAGAAGTGATGACATTTGTGATGGTTCATTACACAGCCTCAGGACAGCCTCCAAGAAAATGCAGTCACCTGAATGTAAACAGGTCTACAAAAGATGCACACAGTTATTCGTCTCATTTCTGGGGCCCTCCAGGAGGGGGCATAAACAGACTGAGAGACAAAAATGCCCCTCCTTATCTTCATCGGGACTTAGTTCTTGCCTTCTGCTTCCCCATTGTGAAGACTGAACACAGGGGAAGCAGAATGCTAGTAAATCAAGCCTTTTTCACTCTCATCACTAGTGCGACTGCATTCTGGCCCCCTACACTTGCTTTCTGGGAGTGAAATGAAAGCAAATGTTTCCTTAGCACAGACTTGATAAAGACACTGGAGATGTCCATCCTAGGGGTCCCACTGATGGCTCTGAACAGGTTCTTTTTATGCATCACTATGCCCTGATCATTATGTTACTTTCGTAATACTGTTTCTGTGCAAGCAGGGATTTTAAATGGAGGACATAAACCAGTAACCTCCCCACACACAGGTATTTCTCCCATTTAACTTTGTGTGCTGTAGAGTAGGCCATGGCCTGGAAAAGGCAGTGAGTTGGTCAGCCAGTGTAAATGACCAAACCAGACGTGTGCTGGTCCCATTCAGACGCCCTGAGAACTCGGTGTACGCAGACAGTTCTGGCTGTGTCCAGATCATCATATATAATCTGTCTGTTTCTAACAGCAGAGAGCCATGAGGAAATATTTCATAAGGAAGATTTTGAAATACATTTTTGCAAACCGTTCTCCTACACGAGATGAAGGGACCCTCATTTGGAGTAAGAGGCGTGCAAGAAAGATGCTCACACTTGTTCTGCCTGGGTTTCTGTTTCTTGTCTTTCTAGTGGGCTGTTCGTTGCAATGATTGTGAGTCTGCTCTTCCTTGTGTTATTGAGGTTCACAGCTGGGATTCTCTTCTGGATTTTCATCTTTGGCGTGACTGGAATTATAGGTTATGGTAGGTGTAATCCTCCAGGCTCTGAGGCTGTTTTTCCTTATTGCTTGATTTTGGGCAAGGAAAGTAAGTGATTACATCAGTTAAATGCTGTAGTTGGGAGAACTAGTGCCTAGGTTTAGACTCCATTAAATGAGAAGGGCCTAAATGGCAGCAAAATTTAGTAAGAATCCAGCTGTGCTGATACTTAGCCCCAGATGTAGTAACCCGAACTATTTACCCCCAGTGTACTTAGTCCGCTTTCACTTGTACTGATCTTTCTTATCTGTAGATGTGATGTTATAGCTGGCTAGTCTCGCAGTAACGCGTGTTTAGTTTTGCTTCCCTGACATGCTGAGGACAAAACGCTTCACTTGTCAAAGATTTAAATAACCCCAACCTTGTCTTTGCACTCTTCAAAAACGCTCGTTTGATATTGATTGATTTTTAACAGGCATCTGGCATTGTCGCTGGGAGTACGACCATCTTAAAGGAATACCTGGATCTGAGCTCACTGTTTCTGGTACTGGATTCCAGACAGACTTGAGAGTGCACCTGCAGCTGAGGCAAACATGGTTAGCATTTAGTAAGTGCCCTTTAAACTTGGTATCCGTTAAGGGATGTTCAGAAGATTCAGTCGCTGTCTTGCTACAGTTTCTGCCTTGTTAAATCTCCTCCTCTACATATGTTGCTCATAGAAGTAATCAGAATTCACTTTCTTTGTATAGTACAAAAATCTACCTTTTCTGCAAAGCGACTAGCGTATGTGTAAGGGGCCAGAATGCAGTCGCACTAGTGATGAGGGTGAAAAAGGCTTGTGTTCCTAGCATTCTACTTCCCGTGTGTTCAGTCTTCACAATGGGGAAGCAGAAGGCAAGAACTAAGTCCCGATGAAGATAAGGAGGGGCATTTTTGTCTCTCAGTCTGTTTATGCCCCCTCCTGGAGGGCCCCAGAAATGAGACGAATAACTGTGTGCATCTTTTGTAGACCTGTTTACATTCAGGTGACTGCATTTTCTTGGAGGCTGTCCTGAGGCTGTGTAATGAGCCATCACAAATGTCATCACTTCTGGTTTTCAGAAGTGCTTCACTGCTTTCTCTTACAAGGGCAGTGTATTTAAAACAATCCTACTGGAACAAGACAAGGAGGGGCACAAGAGAGAACAAATACCTGTCAAATACTATTTGTGCTGCTGTTACTACTCTAGGTTAGCAGGCCCGCAGGCACTAACTGATGATGAATGGCACATAGCCTAAAGCACTGCTTCTCCCTATTGGTAGCTAAATGAATAGAGCAGTAGTTTACTCCTTTAGTCTGCTTTCTCTGCTTTGTGTCTTCAAGTAACTGTGTTGGATCATTGAGCTCAGGAGCATCTTTGCATATTGTTGAGGCAGAGCTTTTTAGCATGCTGGCCCTAGAGAATATTAGGATTTTATTCCATCTTTCCGTGTAACTCCCCTGCCTGATTCTTAGCAGCCACTGTACAGTTTATCCAGAGGTCAGTGTCACTTTCAGATGAGTGAATCGAGGTACTACTAATGGGGACAAGGTACGTTAACTTAAGAGATCTGAACTGGGCTGAGACCAACTGCAAAGCAACCTGCCTATGTATTCCTTCATGGAGAACCATATCAAAAATAGGTGCTGAAATGTGTGTAACAAAACCTTTGTTCTGAAGAAAGTCTGTGGCTCTGAGCACCCCAGGGGTCACTTGCCACGTGCAGTTCTGATGGCTAGGGGTACTGCTCTCAGTACTGGGGATCGCAACTGAACATCATCTCTGACTATCTGGGTCTGGATTCTGAGGCTGTGTCAAAGCTGTGGGACCTGAAGCCAATTCCCCTGTCCCTGTGCAAACCTCCAGACGCCACGGCTGAGGGATACCTTCCCTTTGTCTTCCTCTCCCTCCACAGAACTCTTGGTTTCAGCTGGAGGAGACAGGGCCTGCTGTGTGTAACCATCCAGCACCGCTGGGCTGGTTTAATTGTTGTCTAACCCTCTGAGGCACCCAGAATTAAGGGATGTGTCTCAGGGTGAGAGGAGGTGTGCTTCAGGCATTTAAGACTCTGCCTTCTCGAGGTGGAGTCCAGAGAATTCTTTTGCTTCCTATTGCAGCAGTAGGATTTGAAGTGACACAAATAGAAATCAGAGAGAAGCCAACTCTTTAAACAAGATCTGGGTTATGAATCAAACACTGCTCACAACTAAGAGAGGAAATGTTTCGGGACATGGTGCTCTCAGCTCTCTAACCTTAGAGCAAGTTTGTCATAATCATACTGATGCTGATCTTCCTAAGGAATCGGATCCTGATCGCCATTGCATTGTGCTTATAAGAGCTTTCTCGTTTGCAGTAAGACATTTCTTATCTCCCAGCTCCCTGCCTTAAGAGTACAGACGCTGTAGGCGGCCCCATGTATCCTGGGTGCAAGGAGGTGTGTGCCAAGTGTGGGGCACTGTTAATAGGAGCCTAAGAGCTACAGCTGCCAGCTTTGCTCTGTCATTGGATTGTCTCCAGAGAGACATATACTAGTGGTAGAGGAGTGGTGTTGTTTTGGCTGGGGCTTTTAATTTAGGAAAGACCTTTTTTTCTGGAAATGCATAAGTCTGCAGAGGGAAAAGGGGAATTCCACGACCAGACATTGTGATGTGGTGTGGTCCAAGGCTCTTCTTTTCAGCTCTGCTTACAAAGGAAAGCAGAGCAGGATGTGAGAGTTGGGAGGCCTCTTCATTTTGTGTTTTCTGAAATCCGGATAGGCTTTATTCACAGTGGTTCCTGGTTTATCCAGTGCCAACTCTTAGTTGTGGTTTGAGTTTGGTTTGGGTTTGCTTTCATGGGAATATAAGAAAGGAGAAATGGACTTAACACGCCCTTGGTGGATTTAACTGCAAATAAGCTAAGGCCTTGAGGGCCTCGGAAGTAGAGCTCTGTTAGAGCACATGGAGTTAGCTCTGAGTTTCTCTGTGTGCACTTGCTTGTAGTTTTCTGCCCTCTCTGTTGATGTTATGGTTCTCAGGAGTCAGGGTTTAGGATTTTTGTAATGGGATTGGGAAATGCTGAGGTTCTGCCTTCAGCCAGGTACCTGTTTCCTGTCTTATGCTCCTGTGCAGTTAAAGCATTGCAATTAATTAATTATCTGTGTACCTCTCTGGAGGAACAGTCTTCTGGTCTACAAGACCGGATAAGTCTCTGCTTTCACCTTAGCCAAACCAGCCTTAAAAGGGCTATTTGGTCACTTGGCACTTGCTGCACCGGTGCACTCTTCCTCACTGGGCATTTGCGTGTGATGTACCAACTGGATAGTGAATTCAGTGTCATTAGAAAGAACTGGACTAAAACCCATGCCAAGGTAGAGGATCATACAAGGTCTTTTATACTACATAAGGTTGGCTTCAAGGGGTGAAAAAGGAACCTCAGCAAAGAGTGACTATGCCCTTTCTTGGCTGTATGCTCTGTGAACCTGATGTTAATGGTCGCTTAGTTAGCTTGGGTGGGCTCCACGTGTGTTTTGTACAGAATAATGTAGGGAAGGAGTGAGAGAACACAGAGCGCCCGGAGTCCTCTGAATTGCCTGACAGCAGCCATTGTCTGTCCCTGGAAAGGCAAGGCTTTGGTAAAGTGTCAGAAAGGGGACAGTCACGTTTTGCAAACAAATTGTTCTTTGTCATGCAAAGAGGGCCATGGCATACAGCTCTGGGATGAAGTCTGCCTGAGTTCTGTAAGTAATGAAAGTATTCAGTCTTGTCTGTGGCCCTTCATACACATCTCTGCATAGCAAGAGCGTTTTTCTGTGAGCGGCACAAGTGTTCTAGAGCTTGTGGTTACCCCCTGCAGACTCCTGAGTTGCTCAAAGCCCACAGCTCTGGGATTCCTCCTTGAAAAACCTCATTCAGTTTTCTGGCTACATCAGGAGAACCTGTGTATAAAGTAATGGCTAATCCAACACCATGCAAGTATGCAAAGCTGACTTGTGACCCAGAGGGAGGTGTTACAAATACTTCCCTGCTGTGAGAGCTATCCTAATTGTATTTCTTAATCGCTGTTAAATGCAATGTGAGAAAATGTGCATACCTTAAGTAATGATTCCTCATGTTAAATCTGAAAATAGTGCTTCGTGTTCAGCTAAGACTCCTTTGTTCAAAGCAATTTAGAGCTATGAAGCATTTTCTTTGTGCAGTGTCCTGTGAGCAGGTGAGTATCAACCAGCCTCATTTTCTGGGTGAGAAAAGAAGACGCAGAAATAGAGGTTTATTTGGAAAAGTGTTCCTGAATTCATGAGGATTTCTGGTTTTGTGGTTCTCAAAAGGCAGTGGAAGAATTTGAAAGCTGTGCCTCAGACTTGCCCAAAGAGCAGCCAGGTTTCAAAGCAGAGGCTTGGCTGCTTTTGCACAGTGATGACCTTTATGAAGCTCCAGAAATACTTGTCTTTTGACTTGAGTGTGGGGTTGAATTGAAGTGTTTCTTGAAAACTAGAATTATTTATCAAATGTTATATCAAGGTTATTTTCAGGTGTTTAAATGTCAATGCACTGCTGTGGTTAGGTACATCCCAGACAATTCCCCAGCATCCTGATACCCGAACACTAAAAAAAAGGGATTAGGAACTGACTGGTTTTATTTAACGCCCAAACTGAGCAAACGCATGAATTGAACAACAGAAGTATTCTGACATTCAAATTCCATATCTCTGGGTTTCAGTCGTGTGGTAAGCAGCCCTGTTTGCCAACCGTATAGTTTAAAGTTAAACACCTGCATAGGACATGAGTCCTTATATATGCAAACAGGTTACATAGTACTGGAGTGCAGTGTTGACTGATCTAATGAGACATCAAGCAGAATGATGTGATTTGTATGAAGCAAATTTTTCCCAGACTGCACAAAATTAAAGAGAATTTAAAATCAAGTACTTGAAGGAAAACTTTGAATATGATTTTCTTTCATTATAATAAATTCATAAAATACTACTCTTGACCATTAAATCTTACCGAGAGTTCAAACCAATTTGGGGCCAAGGAAAACCCGCTAATGGGTTTGAAACTGTTCCAAACCCTTCAAGGCCTGAGATTGATATTATTAAATAAACAAATCCAATGTTCCTTCTTGATGCCCTGTTAGTGGGTAAGAACTAAACAGTTCACCAAAGGTTGGCAACATAAAAAGGAACTCCTGTGCAACTAAAGCCACCGATTTCAGGAAAGGAGCATCTTTAATGAAAGTATGTTGCCTCAACTCGTTTCAATCGTTCTCTGCCTTCCCTTAGTTAAGGGCAGGATGCTGGGAAAGAAGAGCCTGGGTGACCTAACACCAGGCTTCAAACATGTAACTGGAATTAATTAAAAAATTAAAATTTTTCTTCAATTCAACCCAGCATTTAGGAAAGGTCTTTCTGCAGAGTTAAAAGCCCATCCCCTGGAACAAAGCCCAGTCCTCTTTCTGACTGGGGCCTCTGGGCAATCCAATGGAACAGACAAATTCTTTCCACTCCTTACTCAATTAACCCGTCCAACTTGGTTCCCTATACCTCCTTTTCTACCAGGATAACATGAAGCAGTTAACAGCGTCTTTGCTCTAAGGAACTGGAAAATAAAAAAAGAAAAAGAAGCTCATAACCAAGAATTTCATACAGGAAATATTTTGGTAAATTGTTCTAGATTAGACAAATTGTTTAAAAGGGGTAGCTAGGAATGTCTTCTAAACTCTCCTCTTGAACCCGCTTTATGGGAACCCAGGTTTTGTTAAAAATTGGG